CAGAGTCTCATTGTGTTGCCCTGGCTGGCCTAGAACTCACTTTGTAAATCAGGCGGGCCTTGAACTCATAGAGATTTCACTTGCCTCTGCCTCTCAAGTGCTGGGATTAGATGTCGGCCACATGGTTATATATATTTCTCTTAAAAAGTGTTCTGGTTATATACCTCATTCAGGAAGTAAGGCTGACAGGACTGAGAGTTGTGCTTCACAGTTAAGATCCTCTGTGAGCAAGACAGGTTGAGTAACACCAGTCTGAAAACTTCCCAAACCCCAAATTTTCTGACTGCCAACAAGATACCATAAATAGAAAACTCTGCACTGAGAACCTGTTTCATGAGCAAAAGTTTTACGAAAACTCTCTCTCTCTCTCTCTCTCTCTCTCTTTCTGTCTCTCTCTCTGTGTATGTATATATGTATGTGTGTCTGTGTGTGTGCTATTGTGAAACAATTGTGATCTCATCCCCAAAATATCTTCTTATACACATACAAATATTCCATGACTCCCCAAATCCAAATTTCAAAACAATTTTATCCCAGGAAGCTTAGATGAAGAATATCCAACCTGAGTTATCCTGTACATAACAGGTGCTGATTAGACATAACCTGACTAGACAAATTAATTAATGATTTTGCAATGTAACAGACCGATTGAACAGTAAATAAAAACAGCCCTGAACTATTCCATGCACAATGGAAGCTGATTTGAAGGAGGAGGCAAAGGTATAGAACGGATGGGGCACTACCTAGCTGGAACACCTCATGGAAAGGGCACCCACCACACAGGTGAGTGTACTATCAGGAAAGGATTTCCCATGACTGCTGAACCACTGGACCCCAAAGGCAGCACACAGACGCTTGACTCTCTCCCACTCAGGAGGCCACAGCAATGGGCACTGCTAAGACCCTTGGGAAAAGTCTTTGCAACTGTATACTCGATGGTCCCTAACTTCCAGCTTTAAATTGCTGAAGGTCATTGTTTGCTACTCCATGGTCAGCACAGGGAGAAGATTCCTTAGGATGCAATCACTCCATTTCCTTTACGTTAGGATTTCAAAATACATCAGCAAAGAAAAACAAGAAGAGACAGACACAGAGCAAGAATGACAAAACCCAGTTAGCCTGAGCATGGGAGTTGCTATACCAGTTCCTCTACTGTTGGGTATTGTTTTCATTTTATTTTTTTTCCCCTGAGATGGAATTTCTCATTTGTAGCCCTGGCTGTCCCAGAACTCTCTCTGTAGACCAGGCTGGCCTCGAACTAACAAAGATCCTTCTGCCCCTGCCTCCTAAGTGCTGGGATTAAAGGTGTGCGCCACCAATGCACAACCTGTTGGGTATCTTAATGTTTATCACTGAAACACCTTTTCAGGTGGGGGATATAGTTCAGTTAGCCGAGTTTATCTGGCGTGCATGTGGCCCTGGGCTTGATCCCTAGCACCATGTAACCAATTGTAGTAGCGCACACTAATAATCTTAGCACTCAGGACGCAGGGGTAGGAGGATCAGAAGAGCAAAGGCACCCTAGGTTATATAGCCTGAGCTACATGCGACACTATTTCCAAAACAAAACTCTGTGAAAGGAATGGGCCTCACCTGGTTATCCATGTCTTTGATGACCAGCAGAACAGGACTATCTAGAGATGCTGATTTCCTATAGAGGGTTTTCAAGCTTGTTCCATGCTCTAAGGTGCTGTAAGCCAGTCTCCATGGATAGCCTTGCACCCTGGCTGGAAGGCGTCGGGCCAGCTGCCAGTTCAAGGAAGGAAATACAAAGAGACATCTTAACCACTCATCAGTCATGAACCTGTGCATTAAATAAGTGCCTGTGGCTCAAACTAAAGCATCATGGACTCACAGTTTGACCTGTTTTGCTCTGGCAAAAACATTTGCTACCACTGGCCAAGAAAGAGAAGGGAAATCTGGACACTGTTTCCCTTGGCCAGGAGGCTGCCCAGGAGATGCTGCCCTCACTCACAGCCTGACTCTGGGCTTCTATGTCATCCTGCAGTCCTGTGTTTCTCACTGATAAGATACATACGCGGAGAAACGTCTTCTTAGGCAGATTTGTGGTCATTTGACTGTCCCAGGAATGCCTTACACAAACCAGCGGAGCTGTGTCACTGGGTGATTATGTGGTACATCACGGAGCAAAGTGTCCCTATTAGTGCATGACTGTACATTTGAAGACTCCCAAGATCAAGTTGGCCAAAGGGGTATTTAACTAGACATATTCTTTCCTTTATAATTCAATCTGGCTTTTATTATTTTATATTTTTCCAGCTGTTTTAAGTTTGTATAGGTTTAAAGCTGCTACAGTGTCCTAGAGACCAAGGAAAAGAGAATTCTCCATGAGAGTTCAGAGGGACTTTCTCCACCTTGTTCCTATATCTTTCATCTATATTTAGCTTAAGCTTAGCTGCCATAAATACTAATAAAGAGTATCTCTCCAAGAAACGTTATCAAAGCAGTTATGAAATGCAATGTATTCGAGCATCGGAAGTCAGCCTCAGTGGCAGCATACAGCCCTCCTCTATAACTGTCTCCCCAAGTCTCTGGGCTGCCCCGGTTTGAGTCTTTAAGGTTTTGAAAATTCAACTTCCTAAGCTAACTGGTGGAAAAAGTAAGAGATTCCATATTCAGTGTACTAAGCACATAATATTTCACAAAATTCAAGTAGCAGACTTTCTAGCAAAGACAAAGCACACACAGATAAGTCTACAGAAAGGAAGTCTTTCCTTGGAGGCAGGTGGTGTGTTCATCACAAAACAAGAAAGTTCATGTGCTTTATTATTATTTTTTAAAATAAGCCTAATAAATTAAAGCCACATTAGCTACACTAGCTAGGATAAAGTTGGATCCTTTTTAGGTGCATTAGGACTATGGGAGATTTCTTCCATTTTTTTATGTTAAGAAATGGCCTTCTCTTTGGGTTTGGAAGGAGGAGGTTGAGATCTTGTCAGCTCTCTACATTCCCAGGAAGGCCGAGCGGAAGGCTGCTGTGACTTTTCCTAAGTGAAGAAGGGATACTGGTTACGGCCAGGCTCTGTGCCTCCACTTGTTCACCTGGCTGTTTCACTCGTGGCCATGGGCAAGGGACACTTTTTGAGACCTGGAAGACCCCAGTGCTCAGTCTGTGGGGAACCCACCTGCTCAATGTGCATGTTCTCCAGGAGCGCGCTGTGGGGTTGCAAGATGGGCAGTCCCTCTTCCTCCTCCTCCTCTTCCTCCTCATAGTAGCTGCAAGTGCTCTTCCTGCGTTTTGCCTCTTCGACAGTGATAATCTGAAGCGACAAAAACAACCCAGTGTAGAAGACGGAGATGTGCTTTCCCCCAAATCACCCCAGCGCACAGCTGACTGGAAAGATAGAATGTTGGGTAGCAGGAGGCAAACAGAAAAGGTCTTTGGGGGAAATGACTAATTTTCAAATGCAGAACAAATGCAGAATTTGAACCACGACAGCTGAGCATTTAGTATGCATGATTAAAGTCCCAAGCTTTTCAGCTTTTCTCTCGCTGTTGCTCGCTCAGGACCGTACGACTCCACACACAATTTACAACCTGGAAAACACGTAAGTCAGGCTCTTTTAGCCTGCGTGTACAAATTTGAATTGCAAAGGAAATAATCAGAGATCCTTCACCAAGTCTATAAATAGGGAGTTCGGAGCGATAAAGATAGTTTTTAATCAGGCTTCCTGGTTGTGTACATAGCAACCAAGACTAATAGAAATAATGAATAATAACAGCCACCAGAGGCAAACGGGAGACACGGGGAGCTTTACTCTAAATTACAACGAGCTATGATTTATTCTACACAGTTCACAATGATCAAACATTTCCCTTCTAAATTGGAAGACATTATATCACACACATCTATTATTTAAAGACAGTTTAAATGGTAGTTTATGAACTACCAAAGTCCTCACCTTAAAAACAACACTTTGTCCCTCTTACCTTCTCAGTAAATCACTGCATGATTTTGAAACACTTAAGAGGCAGCTAACTAGTCAGTAGTAGTGACAGCTGCTATTACAGAGGAAAGGCATCTAATTTACATTTAGTGAAAGTTCTCAGGTAACGCATTGTGTGGCTTTCAAAATGCACAACGACATGCACAAACTATTCATCTTCTGAGCCCGATTTTGGGTAGGAAAACACACTCATGAATTTTCCTATCTTCTGATGGAGAAGTTAGAGAAACGCTTTCCAAGACTCACAAATCTAACGTTTTAAGTGTATTAAACAAAACACTTCATTTTGTTTCTGTTTTCAAACTCTACAAATTATTAACAGGACACAGTAAGGCTGTGGAATGAAAAAAGTCAAGGACGGATTTTGGATTTCAGAAAGAGGGGGCAGTAACCTCCACAGCAGATAAAAGAACGCACCCCGGGATTTCAGAACACATGGCAGGGACAGAGCACCTAGCTTCTCCACACCGGACACATTCCCACCTACCTTCACAAAAGGCTCTTGGTCAGGCCTGGCACAATAGAAAATCTGAATGTCCAGGGGCAGTCTTCTGCCTCTCATTTTGCTGGGAGGGAAGATTGCGGCCACTCGAGAGAGAGGAACAGGTCTTTCTCTGGCTGCCTGCACACCGGCCACGGACTGCCAGGCTGAGCTACACTGTGTCTCAGTATCTAGCTTCCTGCACGATTGAGTTTCTGTTTCCCTCAGGAGGGGGTTCAACGTTTCTACAGGAACACACCCAAATTAGGATTTAGAGCAGGCACACTTCCTGTCAGGCAGAGCGGGAGTATGTAAAACGACACTTTCACCTTTGAAACCCACGGCCCGACAGTACAATAAAACCCCATTGTTCCAGGGTGGTTGTTTTTTTTTCCCCCCTCTTCCCGAACAAACTCTTCATCCATATGCCCTCCGGGTAGGTAACTAAACTGTGCTCACCCTGCCTCTTCAGGGTTTTCTTTCAGCTCCTTCTTTAAGGCTAAACCTCCATTTTAAACGTGGTGTTGGTTCCCAGCATCAGTTTGAGTCTTAAAAACAAAAGGAGCCTTTAACAGAGCTGGGTAGGCTCAGTTCTACATTACTTTTAGAGTCTGTTGGCATGGAGCACTTGGAAGGGTGGGGGCACATCTGATTTACAGGAGGCTGTGAAAGATGCCGTCTGACGTACAGGTTGACAAAACAGGTAGCAATGTACAGTTTATCGTTCCCCACTGTAGACTGCGACTTAGTGACTGATAAACCTCCTGGGGTCCTCCTTTGTTCCTCAGATCAGATGGCAGGCTTGGAAAGAAATGCTGATCTGCATCAGATCAGTTTTCACCTGTCTTTCTGTTACTCCCCCCCCCCCTCAACGCTGGTGACTTTCAGTCCTAGGGGCTGCTGACGGCTCAGGGTCCTGGGGTAGGTTATAAATTGCATCTCTGGCAGATGACGGACACTACAGGTCAGCCAAGACCGACCCTCCATGCAGACAGACATCTAACAATCTAGGGCAGAACCACTTGGATTCTGTGCCCAGGAGAAGCAACTTTTTCAGTGCCTGGCATTTCATGATAGATCACATTAATGAGGTACTTCCTGGGTGCTGGAGAGTGCCAACATGCATTAGGTGCTTCCTCATTCTAGGGAGTGCCAGGTGCTTTGCCAGGCACAGGGACACAAAGCAGTCCATAGTGTCTATGGATGACTGACAGAAGGTGAAATATAAACAAGCAGACGCCATCACAGGCAATAAAGAAGCTGGAAGCTCTTGAGGCTCAAAGGAGGCTGGGGACACGTGGTGTGTCTGGAGAAGACTTATTCACAAGGGAGAGGGTGGTGCCATCTGTGAGCAGGGTGGGGTCTGGAGAGATATGCCAGGTGCAGGGTGAAGCAAGAACACTGACATGGGCTCTAGGTTCATGATGGCTGAAGGACAAACAACAGCCAAGGAAGAGAGGCGAGAGGCGGGGAAGATCTGGAGAAGTAAGAACTTCATGTCTTGAAGGGGTTCTGTCACATAGGAGAAGAGTTCTAAAACCTAGCTGTTTTTCCTATTCATTTTGGAGCTTCAAAAATACAGATTCAAGCAGGGTAACGGCGGTGGTGCACGCCTTTAGTCCCAGCATTTGGGAGGCAGAGCCAGGAGGATCTCTGAGTTTGAGGCCAGTCTGGTCTACAGAGCGAGATCCAGGACAGGCGCCAAAACTACACGGGGAAACCCTGTCTTGAAAAGCCAAAACAAAAACAAAAATAAAAATAAAACAAAGATAAAAACAAAAACAACCCCCCCCCCAAAAAAAAAACAGATTCTAACATTCTTCTTATAGACTTACTAAAACAAAGTTTTCAGAGGTAAGGGTCTAGGACTCAACTTTAAAAAAAAATCTAGAAGGCTTGAGATATGGCTCTGTGTCTAAGAGCATTTCCTGGGAAAGCACTGACACTGAATTCAGATCCTAGCACCTGTAAAAGGCCAGACATGGCCACTTGAAAGCCTGTCACCCCAGCACTTTGGAGGGTAGAAACAGGAGGATTTAATGTTCAGTAAGCTCAATGTTCAATGAGAGACCCCCATCTCAAAGGAATAAGGTAGACAATGACACATAGCATCCTCCTCTGACCTCCTCAAGCACACACACTAGCACAAACTTGTTAGCATATATCATACCTCACTCTCCCCCCACCCCCCACAGAGACAATTCCCTTCCCTGAAATCCCCAAGTGGCTATTCCAGTGATAGGCAAGGTGGCTAACAATTACTATAGGCTCATGGGGTGGAAGAATGGGTATGGTGGCATTTTATTTGTACTGAAATGTGATTTTAATTGTATGTTAATAAATAAAGTTGCTTGGAGGTCAGAGCTAATAGCAAGCCATAGCAGAGCTGGGCATTCGTGGCGCACGCCTTTAATCCCAGCACTTGGTAGAAGAGCTAGGTAGATCTCTGTGTGGTCAAGGATACAGCCAGCATTGGAGACACAGGTCTTTAATCTCAATACCATAGAAGACCTAAAGGGCTGTACATACAGGCAGTGACGAGGCAGTCATGTGTTTGGGTTTACAACCAATGAGAAGGCAGGACAGAAAGACTATATAAAGACAAACACACAGGAAGTAGGTCTCTTTCAGAGTGGTAGGACCACCGCAGGAGGAAGGGTAAGGTTGTAGCTCTGAGCTCTGACCTCTTGGCTTTCTGCTTTGCATTGGTTCTGTGTTTCTTATTTAATAAGACGGTTGGTTACATCTACAAATGGGGACATGGTACTGAGAGCTTCAAACCTGAGAGTATAGGAATACACTTGTGTATTGAAATGGTAAGTTAGATAGACAATACATACAATATATATTTAAGACCTTTGAATATGATGAAGGAAATCTCAGAAATCACAATAGTGATGAGAAAAATTATTACTAGAAATACTACCTATTATATATATAAATCAACTACATGACTACCTATATATTAAAAAGAAATCTAGAAAAACAAACAAAAGCCACAAACAGCCGGGCGGTGGTGGCGCACGCCTTTAATCCCAGCACTTGGGAGGCAGAGCCAGGCGGATCTCTGTGAGTTCGAGGCCAGCCTGGGCTACC